ATCACAGCTAGATAAGACTACTGATGGCTTCTCTTCCTTGGCAGCTTTAATAATACCTTCTGGTGCTCTGAACATTAGTTCTCAGGGAGGGGGTTTTCAGGTGAAATTCAGACTATATCTTCTGAGTTTTGTGTCTGAAGTGCATGCTGTCTCCTGCAATGTGTATTTACCTTAAACTTCTGGGAGACAACCTTGAACATAAGCAAAAGCCTGTTTTGAGAATATCTTAGACTTATAACAACCAACAGCTCCAAAATTGGACTTATGGCCCACTCAACAGGAGGAAAATTATGTCTGGCACTGGAAACCTTACCAACTACCCAAAGTTAGTGAGGTCATGGATTTTAGAGAACATACTACCACTTCTTTACTGGACTATCATAATTCCTAACTATATTCCAACTACTTAGCCATATAAGTATATATCACACCCCTCAACAAAGAAATTTCTCTTTGTAGCAGATGGAGACCATTAGAGGAAAGCACAACTGGTAAAAATATAGAGAACAACTGACTATGGGGTGCCCAACGACTCCATGCACAAAACAACTGTTGCACCTGAGGTTCAGAGAATATAATGGAAGAAAGAACAGAAAAATGGTAAGGAACAGGGGGCCAGGAAATCTGATGTGAGTTTGTGCCTTCTAAAACTGACCAAGAAGCCACTCTCATGACACTTCAGCAATATGGCTTCCTAAACATGACCCAGCCAACTACAACATTAATAGGCATGATAATATGCAAGTAAGAAATCTCAAGGGGTCTCCAGACCTTGACAAACAGATACAGATACCTAACAACTACTGAGAGAATCAATCTTCCCCTGAGATGATCCTTTGTTCAACCAGTATCAAGTGGTCTGAAACAGCTTATGTCCAAATCATATGAGATAGACTAGGCAGGTTGTATTTATACATTTATGAACATTATATATATATGTGTGTGTGTGTGTGTGTGTGTGTGTGTAACAATCATAAAGAAGAGGCTATAGATTTGAAAGTGAGTAGAGGTAGGATGGAAATTTGTAGGAAGGAAAGGAGAGAATTTATATAATTATATTTTAATTAAAATAAAAATAAACAAATTAAGCATAAACAAATATAAACCCTCATTTATAATTATTAATTAGATAAAAAGCAAATTTAGTCAAACTCCTTTATTCATTTAAGTAAAATGTTAGTATTAAGTATGTGTTGACCATATTAAGTGTTGATGAAATTTTGAAATGAAAATTGGTGTAACTATTTTAGAAGAACTTGATTTCTTTTTACAAAAGTAAACATATAACTGCCCTGTGGCTCACCCAATTAATTTCTGAGTATTATTTTATTTAAGAGAAGTTAAATCATATGTCCAGATGAAGATTTTTGTATTAATGGTTATAGTATACTTACTAGCAATAGACCCATTCTGAAAGAATAAATGTCTCTATGAAAACGGAGCAGATAAATAATTGTGATACAGGAACGCAATGGAAAACTACTTAACAATAAAGAAGAAGGAATTATGTAGTAATCTATATAAGAGTTTGGATAGCTATCAAAACATTATGCTTAGTGAAAGATGAAAGACAAAAAAGCACATATTTTATGAATCCATTGCTATAATTTCTGGGGGGAAAGGCAAACTAATCTACCTTGACAGAAAAAAAATCATCAACAGCCTGAGTTGGAGGCATTGGAGAAGTACAAATAAACACATCAGTTTGGTGTCTTGAATGGAGATACTCTTATCTGTAGATGTGTATATATATATATATATATATACAAGTTTCAAAAATTAGCCATTTGTACAACTTTAAATATATACAGTTCATTGCATGTACATTCTATTTGTGTAAAGCTACATATAATCCTTTTGCCTGATCAATGCAGGACTGATTTTCAAAGGAAGAGATGTGCAGGCAGGAAGTGAGAGTGCCTTGAGCGGTTATTGGAAGCAGCCAAATTAAGAGAAATAAACAGATGTTTGAAATAGTTCAGCATACACTCATAAGACTATGCAAATAATCACCATATTCCAAAGGTTGCCTTCTTCTAGTTTTACAGAGCAACATCCAGGGAAAATTCCATTCCTAAAGCCCCCTGAAGTTGTTCGAGATACTTACTATGAATTCAAAGGATCTGCGAGAACACCATGAATTCTAGTCAACTGCTAAAATTATTTCAAAGGGAAAAAAAAGAGTGGGAGGAAAGAAGAGAAAACATTGTTTAAGTACTAATTTCTATCATATTCTTCAGTCATTGTCTCTTGATCATAAAAGAAAAGGTGGGAAACCAATATTTGAGTTGGGGATCAGAGTACAAAGCTCAAATAATGGGAATGCCCATAGTATGATCACAGTAGATAATTTTCCCCATCATGATAATATAATTTTATTATCATTTTATAATTTATATATTATAATATAATATAATATAAGGAGAGTTTGTTTTGCTTTAGAAGTTCATTTAAAAAATTGAGAAGACAACTCAATTTGGAAAAGTCTTGTGTAGCAAGCATGAGGGCCTGCGCTTGATCCCTAGCACACATAGAAATAAAAAGCCAAGGAATGACACTGCACACTTTGAACCCCAACAGCACAGAGGCAGAGACACAGATCTCTGAGACTCATTGACCAATCAGCTTAGCCTACGTAATGAGTTTTAGGCCAGTGAAAGACCTTGTAAAAAGAAACATGTTGAGTGTAGTCTAAGGAACGAAAGACAAGGAGGCATCCTTCGTGTCCTTTGACTTTTACCCATAAGTGTGTGTGTGTGTGTGTCTGTAAAAGGACATCTTTCAAACTTTCAGAATTCTTCCCTATTTGCAATACATTGTATCTCTTTTCACTGTCAGAACAGCCTTCTGAGAGGAGGTACTTTAGCTTCAATTTTCTGTGAGGAAATCTGTAAAGACAACTTCGATGCTGTGGAAGCAACATAAACTTCAGACTATTTCATTCCTGGGTTTGAATGTTTATTGCGCATTCACTTACTGGAAGGTACGCTGTTTCTCACATTACTTTTTCTGCCTCTTTTCTACAAACTTCCCTCTTTCCTTTTGTGATTGTTCAGTTGTAAGATTAGTGGCCTCTTTCACTGTCAATCTCTAAACAAAGAGCTCTCTTGGCTCTGAGACCCATGTTCATTTCTTTCTACCATCTTGCCAGTTGATTCAGTTCCCTGTAGTTAAAATAGTGACAAATCTTTGGTAGATGTGAAATTGTCATAACTATTCAAATAACGTCTTCAAAATACCTGTGCATTTCAGCACAGTACACTACTGAAAATTAGTCATTTTTCAGTTTGACAAATTTTTAACAACTTTGATTTTTGCCGTAAGGAGTTATTTGTGAAAGCAAGAAAGAAAAGAATACAGTACAGGCAACAAGGCCTCAACTGGTACGCTCTCAGCAGATAATTTTTCACCTGGGAAGGTGGAAGCACTCCCGGGTCATTTTGTCCGAAGAGATTACTTTACGACTATTTCTCGAGAGCTGTGGAGCTGCTGAGAGTACAGCTAATGCAGCAAAAGAATGGAGAGGTGCTTTCCATTCTGTTCGTAGAAAAGGTCCGACAGTGCCGTTGCCTCACTTGTTCACAGGTGCAACAGAGTTGATCATCTATCCTTCTTTTACCTGCTGAGGTTTGAATTAACTCGTCTGGCCAAGGGGAAACTCTCAGTACAAAGGCTAGCGCTTTGCCCTCACCCTAGAACCCAACATATGTGGAAATATCAGGTGGAATTGCGGTGTCCGCCAGCCCCAGGTTTTGGGAAGCTGAATCAGAAGGATCAAGAGTTCAAGGCTTTTCTGTTGTAAAAACAACAACAACAACAAAAACACAAAACACACACACACAAAAACAAAAACAAAAAAAAAAACCCTGTCTCCAAAGAAAGATAAAATCTTAACAAACAAAACTCAAAAATTAAAAAAAAGCAAAACAATTACAGTGTTTCACAAAACAAACTCCCTGTGCCTTCTGGGACAGAGACCTTGTCCAGATCCAGAGTTAGACGTTATTTACAAAGAAGGGGGGGGGGTCTACAGCCTTTCTTTAAGAAAACCTGTGTGGGTCTATCCTCTACCTTTCTATCCTTTCTATTGCTCACTTGCCTGTACATTTGGAGTGTTCCACATCACCCTCACTTGCACTTGTCTATCAACCCTCCGTAGCAATTTCTCTATGTAGGATAGTATTCAGGAACAAACAATTTGGAAATCTCAAGGCATCTATATACAAACAAAACTTTGGACAAAACCAAGGGTGCATTTGTGCAGGGCAAGTGTTTCTGACATTTGTGTTTGCACATTTGTCTGAGTGATTTTTGTTTTGTTTTGTTTTGCATTTGCAAGTCTGGGGAAAAGAAGTGAAAAGCGTCAGTTACAGGTAATTCCCAATAGGAAGAAGGGCAGTAAATAAACCAGAAATGACCTTTGGTTCCTTAGGCCCAGAGTTCCCAGAGCAAATGGCATAGTGTCAAGAATTCCTATCTACCTTACTGAGGAGTCTCAAAAGTTTCAGCAAGTGTTGGCTTGGCTGCAGTTTGTTCTATAATTTGTTGGGACTCCCCCTTCTGCTCGTCTGGGTAGCCCCTGGAAAGAACCCCTAACTGCTACTAGTAGCTGGTACTTCTAGTGCCCCTTCCTCCTTCTCCCAACTCTAAGAATCTGTTTTGGGATTGGGTTTAGGAATAAAATCCGGCCTGTGCTAGCCTTCTACATAGTCGGTAGACTAGACGTGTCTGTTAAAAATCACTCCAAGTTAAAGCTTCTAGTCTGAAACCCAAACCCTGACTCCGAAAAACAAGGGTATTTGGGGAAGAAGGGTCCTCAGAGGCTACAGCGATTCACTCCCGCCTTCACCATACTACGCCAGCACTTCGTTCTTTAAAGCCACCCTGCGCTGGCTTGCGGTGAGAGGAGGGGAGAAAGGAAAGGGGAGGGGAGGGGAGAGAGAAAGGAGGTGGGAAGGCAGGGAGGCCGGCCCGCGGGGGCGGGACCGACTCACAAACTGTTGCATTCGCTTTCCACCTCTCAGCGTCCCCTCGGAGTCCTGGGAGCCAGCCTGCTGGGAGAACCGGAGGGTCCGGAGCAAACCTGGAGGCTGAGAGGGCATCAGACGGGAAAAGACTGAGCTAGCCACTCCAGTGCCATACCGAAGCTGAAGGGACACACCACGCCAGCCCCAGCTCAGCGACAGCCAAGCCTGTTGCAGCGCGGGCGGCTTCGAAGCCGCCGCCCCAGTGCTGCCCTTTCCTCTCCGGTGAAGTTTGTAAAAGCTGCGGAGGACTCAGAGGAAGCAAGGAAAGTGTCTGGTAGGACTACAGCTGCCTTTGTCCTCCTCCCCTCTACCCCCTACCCCCTCCTGGGTCCCCTCTCCAGGAGCTGACTAGGCAGGCTTCCTGGCCAACCCTCTCCCCTACACCCCCAGCTCTGCCAGCCAGTTTGCACAGAGGTAACTCCCTTTGGCTGAGAGCAGGCAGGCGAGCTTGTTGCAAGGAAGGCTTTTGGGAGCACAGAGACTGAGGAGCAACAGCACGCCTGGAGAACCCCTGGTTCCAGGTTCTCCCCCTGCACCTCCTCCTGCCAGCCCCTCACCCTGTGTGTGGAGCTAAAAGTCAAAAGATGAAAAGGCAGTCCAGGTTTCAGTAGCCGACAACAAAACAAAAGCTAAAAGAAACCAAAAAGAAAATAGTCTAATTCTTATTTGCACCTGCTTCAGTGGACTCTGAATGTGGAAGGCAGAGGATTTCCCTTTCCCCTCGTCAAGCTTTGAACATCTTTTAATCTGTTCTTCAAGTATTTAGGGACCGACTGTGGAACTAGCAGGGCAGATCCTGTCTAGCGCTTGCCTTGCTTTACAAGATACTTTGAGACTATCTGTGCGCTTTTTTTTTCCTCCTGCAAGTTTTCTTCCCTGGAGCTTCCAGCAGGTGGGCAGCTAGCTGCAGCTACTACATCATCAGTCAGTTGAACTCTTTAGAGCAAGAAACAAGGAGGCAGGATAAGGGAATTCAGTGGAAGATACAGACAAGCTCAAGGATGGAGGTGCAGTTAGGACTGGGAAGGGTCTACCCACGCCCCCCGTCTAAAACCTATCGAGGAGCTTTCCAGAATCTGTTCCAGAGCGTGCGCGAAGCGATCCAGAACCCGGGCCCCCGGCACCCTGAGGCCGCAAGCACAGCACCTCCCGGCGCCTGTTTGCAGCAGCGGCAAGAGACTAGCCCCCAGCAGCGGAGGCGGCAGCTGCACGGCGAGGATGGCTCTCCCCAAGCCCACATCAGAGGCCCCACAGGCTACCTGGCCCTGGAGGAAGAACAGCAACCTTCACAGCAGCAGTCAGCCTCCGAGGGCCACCCTGAGAGCGGCTGCCTACCAGAGCCTGGGACTGCTACAGCTCCTGGCAAGGGGCTGCCGCAGCAGCTACCAGCTCCTCCAGATGAGGATGACTCAGCTGCCCCATCCACGTTGTCCCTGCTGGGCCCCACTTTCCCAGGCTTAAGCAGCTGCTCCACGGACATTAAAGACATCCTGAGCGACGCCGGCACCATGCAACTTCTTCAGCAGCAGCAGCAGCAGCAACAGCAGCAGGAGGTAATATCCGAAGGCAGTGGCAGCAGTGCAAGAGCAAGGGAGGCCACTGGGGTTCCCTCTTCCTCCAAGGATAGTTACCTAGGGGGCAATTCGACCATATCTGACAGTGCCAAGGAGTTGTGTAAAGCAGTGTCTGTGTCCATGGGACTGGGTGTGGAAGCATTGGAACATCTGAGTCCAGGGGAACAGCTTCGGGGAGATTGCATGTACGCGTCGCTCCTGGGAGGTCCACCCGCGGTGCGTCCTGCTCCTTGTGCGCCACTGGCCGAATGCAAAGGTCTTCCCCTGGACGAGGGCCCGGGCAAAGGCACTGAAGAGACTGCTGAGTATTCCTCTTTCAAGGGAGGTTACGCCAAAGGTCTGGAAAGCGAGAGCCTGGTCTGCTCTGGCAGCGGTGAAGCAGGTAGTTCTGGGACACTTGAGATCCCGTCCACTCTGTCTCTGTATAAATCCGGAGCGGTGGATGAGGCAGCAGCATACCAGAATCGCGACTACTACAACTTTCCACTGGCTCTGACCGGGCCCCCGCACCCCCAGCCCCCTACCCATCCACACGCCCGCATCAAGCTGGAGAACCCTCTGGACTATGGCAGCGCCTGGGCTGCTGCAGCCGCGGCGCAATGCCGCTATGGAGACTTGGCTAGCCTGCACGGAGGGAGTGCAGTCGGACCCAGCACCGGATCGCCCCCAGCCACCGCCTCTTCTTCCTGGCACACTCTCTTCACAGCTGAAGAAGGTCAATTATATGGGCCAGTCGGTGGGGGTGGCAGTAACAGCCCCAGCGAGGCAGGGCCTGTAGCTCCCTATGGCTACACTCGTCCCCCTCAGGGGCTGGCGAGTCAGGAGGGTGACTTCTCTGCCTCTGAAGTGTGGTACCCCAGTGGAGTGGTGAACAGAGTACCCTATCCCAGTCCCAGTTGCGTCAAAAGTGAGATGGGACCTTGGATGGAGAACTACTCCGGACCTTATGGAGACATGCGGTAAGTTTCTCCTAAAAATGCCGCCTTTTGACAAAAGGCTCAGAGCAGCAGTTTGCTTTTGGGGGGATTTAGGCAAACCCGCCCAGGAGAACACTCCAAAGGCTTCTAAAACAGCTCAGTTCAATTCTATAGGAGGGACTGCCCTACATCTGGAGCCCTCCTGGGGACTGTCCTCTTGTGAAATGTTCCACCTAAGCCCAGGAATCTTTGCTGTGCTTCTGGGTGCTAATTGGTGCCCTTCGAGATTCCCCTACACTCCCCCCACCACCACCCAAATGTCTAGATCCCGCATTAAAATCTTTCTGATATTCCAAGTACTAAGGGTTCCAAACTTAAATCCAATTGCATGAACCATTTTCAGAAATGACGCTCATAAGCCCTTCACTGTTTTCCCCTCCTTTCCTCAAAGTCCTAGAAACACGATCAAAAACGTGGTCAGTTTCTCCTCTATGGGTCTGTTAGTATTCACCCTCTTGTCAGTGCATGGTCTTGGCATAATAAAAGGAAAATAAAAGCAAAAAAAGCCGATTTCGGGCCCTATCCTTCAAAGAGAGAAATTCTCAGAGAAAGAAAAGCCCCATCTAGTTACTGAGGGCCCCGGTGTGAAGGAGTGCAATTTCTTCCCAGGAAGTAACCAGGGACTTAATTTGCTGCTTAGAGGCCAGCCTAGAGAATCCAACAGGACACTTTTAGAGCAGGTAGATGGGGGTGACTTTCATGGTAAACACTGGGCAAACTTTGCTCTCATGCATTTCTCAGCATTGGTTGACTGTTGGGAGTAATTGTGTGGGCGTTTTCCCTTGGAAAGTGTTTTATTTTCTGTGTAGATTAGGACATATCAGAAGTCTCTATCTCATGCCTGCATTCGACCTTAAAAGTAAAGAATGTACTTTAAATGAACAATTTAACCAGGTTTGATTTTGACTCACAAGTGTTGTAAGCAAAACAAAACCGTAAACCATGTCCTGCTACTTGAGTGTGCTCAGAAATTTATACTGGGGAGGGAGGACGACGGTACCTCATTACGTTTTTTCATCTTAAGAAGATACTTATATTTTAAAACTTGGGTTGCTCATGATAGCAAAGTGCGTAAGAACTGTCAGTGAGCTATGACCCATAATGTTGCCCCACAGTTCTAATTAGGACAGGGGAAAAGTGGCGGGCAATTCCCTCTTTTTAAAAGTATTTATTACTTCTTCATGAGCTTTGTGGAGACTAGTTGAAAAGTTTTCCCCACTAACTTAAGATAATTTTTTATCTGATAAGATGGAATATTGGCTTAGTAATTAATGCATAGGGTTTAGTTTCCTGAGGTGCTCATGCTCCCCATGAATTTATGTCTGTTTCTCAAATGGTTTTCTTTCATTTGTGACATCTTTCAAATTTCTTTGTTAGATGCGCCATAATTTTGGTGACTTAATTCTAACTTTGTATTCTTCTATTGTTCTTGGTTGTTAATACAGTGTCCAACAATGAAAAAAAACAGATAGATTTTCGAAAAGTACTCTTTTCTGAGTTATTGAAGAAACAATTTCTTATCACGGTTTGTATTCTATTTGGTTTTTAAGAAAAGATTCATTTTACATCATTAAATTTTTTCCAGTTAAGTTAGAGTGTTTATTTTTGTGATGAGTTTCACTGTGGGATAAAATGTCTTCATTTTATGAGAATAGATTTACTTGGTATGGTTAATTATTTCTAGGGTTGTCAACTAGAGAACAGAGTCCCTCTTTTACTACAAACTTTTCTTTGGGTGGGAATGTCTAAAGTGTTTCCTAACTTAGCATGATGCTAAGGCTAGTCACCTGTGCCATCCGGTCTTATGTATAGCACATCCCAACTTGCTCACTTAACAAAAAGCAAAGGAGTAGTTCTCTGTGTTTGTTTAAAATATAGCTTTGAAAATTCAGCCTATATTTCCACCAAGTGAAGAAAAACATTTCCTAGCATTTGTTAGTGAGTATTCTGATTTTATCTCAGTTCTTAATAGGAGGGGTACCTTCTCTATTAGGATGAGTATTATACTTTGAAGCCTCATTGATACTCTATAAATTATTGAGCTCAACTACTGAGAATTGAGTCAACAAAGTTCTGTCTAAGTGAGTTGAGTCGACAAACTCCATTTGTAAGATCTAGAAAAGTCATTTGAGTCATTTTGTTGAAAATTAATCAGCTGATATAATCAGCATGCAAACAAACTCTAAAATGGAAATATTTTATTACTTTCTGTTGTTGCCCCCTTACTTTGCAGGCACAGTTAGATGAAAGGCAAAGTCTTTTTAAAGGCAAGCCCGGAGCTCATTCCCTCTAGATGGCATTCATTGTGTGCTGATTATGAGTTTCAAACCTCAAAATTCTGGAAGCGTCTCATAACTTTTTGGGTTCCTCCTTTTTTCAATTGCGTGTGATCATGAACATTAGTTCTACGAGAGAGATTTTTTTAACTTTACTAGCTGAAGCAGCAACATTTCTACTGAGAAGAAAACAGAAGCTGCAGGCAGTCTTATTCTTTTTTTTTTTACTTAGTTTAGCATATGTTTTGAGCAGAAGAAAAATAAAAGTAATAGGTCATGTTTACAAGCCTGATGATATTTTATGACTCTGTTTTCTCTTGGAGATCAAACAAGGCTACAACTTCGCACCACAATACTGTGGCAAACATTGATTCTTACAAATTAGATCCCTAAAGAGCCCATGCAAGAATTTGAATTGGGGTTTAGAGAAATTACTCAGAAGCAGAGTGAAAATTAATATTTTTTACTTTTTTATTCTAGCTTTCATAACAGGCATTATTTTAGTAGTGCTTTGGCACTGGCAAGTCCTTCCTTTTATGATTTTTTCTAAGCACAGCATTTTATCATTTCTCATTTCATCTACATTCTCCTTCCTAGTTACCAAGACATTTTTCCCAGCTGTCATATAACGAGTGGGTTGCATGTTTTGTTAAGCAAAATTTTGCTTTAGGATCAATGATTTCTGCCTCTAGGCTTTCAGAATCAGTATACTGAGAAGGGGTGTCTGTTCTCTATAGCCAGTAAACATACAGTGAGTTCTTCCTGGGTGCCAGTCATCAATACCTGATGTTAAATAGCCAAGTCAGTTGGCATCCCATTTGAAAGTAGCCACAAGACGCAGCCATGGCAGGACCCTCTTATGTAATCTACCTCTATCAGCTTGGTATTGTCAGTAGTAAACGTTTTCTATGCAGCTTAGAGCTTTTCAATTGTAGATTTGTTTGAGATACTTTCCTGGCAGTGCTAATTTTACTTTAGAGTTTCATTCATTGAGCTGATATTAGGAAATAATATATTGAATTTTACTGGCACATTAAATTTTCTTTGTTGTTTTTCCTCACTGTTTTAATTGTTCATCTGATTTACATAAATGCTCTTAAAACAAAAAAAATTTTTCATCTCCTGATTTGTACACATACAGTCGCCACTCTTGGTGATATCCTTGGGTTGAACGTGGACAATTCATTATTATTAATAATTATTTATGGTAATATAATCATCGCTTTCATTTGGAGTTCTGTTTAAGCAAGGAAAAGAATGCAGACTAGGTGGGACAAAGCAAGAGACTCTATTTATAATCACATCTGAACTCAGGATACTGAAAAATAATAATAATGAAAAACAAACAAAAAATTACATTTTGTGATGGTTGTAAGGGAGTGAAAAGGAAATCTTTTCCCAGCCCCCAACTCTTCCATTTTCTCTTTGTCTGCAGCTTCTTCAAATGCTACTCATGCCTATTTCTCATTTATTTCACTCCTTTTATGCCTTTGACATTGAAATATAAACTCTTTCTACTCTCAGGATTTGTTTTCCTCATTGCACCTGTGGCATGCTCCTAAAGAATCTCTTCAATGAAAATCTGGCAGGTAGAAGATCAGATGAACCTAGTATTTCTCTTAAGGATAGATCTCAAGAAGGAACTGTAAAAAGAATACCCTCATAGCAGGGCATTTTACCTTGAGAATAGAGAAAGGATCAACAGTTGCTGAGGAAGTCATGTGAGATAGCTTGCATAAATTGAAGATTTACTAAAGAGTTTTGCCCCCATCCTGGATGAAAGTGTGTGTGTATATATCTGTATCTGTGTCTGTCTGTCTATAGTATATATATATATATATATATATATATATATATATATATATATATATATATATATATATTACATGTCTTGTAGTACTGGGTTTGGATCCAGGGCCCTATGAACTGAGCTATCTACACAACCTATCTTAATCTGTGTCCTTTCCCCTCTTTTGGCCGTATTGATAACCCTCTCTAAGACACTGAGAATAATTATACTCTCCCTTTCCCCAAAACTGTCTGGATCAGTATCTATTCATCTATTGCATATGTCTAGGTCAGCACTCATCTTCAATGAGGGTGCTCAGGCAACATGCAAATGATCATTGGTAAACAAAAAAATAGTAAGAAAATCACTATCCTTCAGTTACCCTGTCAACATTTCATCAAGTTCTGTGATATTCATTATCCTTATCCTAAACACACCATTGCCTTTTAAATACTGACTTGTGAATTACTACACAATTGCCCCATTTGCTGTCCTTTGTGGTATATAATTGTACATTTTTATGCATATTCAGTATTTTCCAGTTTATTCGCTATTACTCACATAACTTCAAGTAAACCAGTTCTGTTAATTCCCTTGCTCATAGTCAGAATATTAGAAAGTTACATTTTGTATACCTGTTGACCATTTGGGGAAACCTCTCTGAAGTAGAACACAAAGCTTCTGGAAGCTGCTTGCCAGATTCTAAAGTTTTAGATGTTAACTCAGTAAAGGTAGCATTTAGTGTTTTCATCACAGAGCCGAGAGGGCACAGATTATGGTTTGCAAACTCATGAATGGTGTAGCTCTTCTCTCTCACACTGATTGCTGCCAGTCTGCCAGACACATCCAAGTTGAGAATGCCTCACTCAGATAAATTTATAATATTAAAGTGCTGTTGGTCAATAGATAATGTTGCC